CGTCAAAGATTCTGAAGCGAGAACACAAGAATTCGCGCACCGAAGTGTGAACCCGGGCATCGTTCACGTTCCTCGGGTTCATCGCTTCTTCCTCAGAAAAGATCCATCCTGGCATTGCCCAAGAGGCTACCTGTTTATGGAATATGTTCCAGGCAAACTACTACAGGATCTTGACCTCAATATCAAGGGCGATATAGTCCCCAGGGTAGCCAAAATTATCAAGCACTTAGGGCAAATCCAAGATAGCCAACCAGTCCCAGGTCCCATAGGCGGGGGCGAGCCAGAAGGTTACTTCTTTGGTGATGATGGCGCAAGAAGGAGTTTTGCTTCCGTAGCAGACTTCGAAGCCTGGCTCAACATACGTCTTGCTTTGCGAAACAAGTCAATAGATCTCAGTTCTCAACCTCTTGTTCTCTGCCACATGGATTTATGTCGACGGAATATGATCCTCGAGGAGAATGATAGCATCTGTCTTCTCGACTGGGGATGTGCCGGAATGTATCCGCGCTATTTCGAAATTGCGACTCTCTCTTGGTTGAATCCGTATGATGAACCGTACGAGAAACCTCTGTTGCAAGCTACCACTGCGTTGCTGGGCTTGACGGCGAAGGAGAAAGACTCGATCGCTCTTTTGGAAATCGCTCGTGCTGCCAATCTGAGATACACCTTGTGAGTAAACCCACATGGTTTTGTAAGCTGGATTTATCTCTGACGCTAATCATTTCTGTAGTGAAACCGAAGGGGAAAGTCAGGGCATACCAGACTGGCACCACACTATGCCCCCTCCGCCTCCTCTCCCAAGTCAAAAGCCCAAACGGTCATAGATGTCTCATAAGAGTTAGTGAAGCGGCTCGAAACAAGTTCCTGATCACTTCGCTTTGAACAGCAGAGGCGGGGCCGCGCTTCGCCGCATTAATAAGATACCGACTCAATCCTGGTCGAATGTTTATCGCGGCCGTGATTTGATGATCTTGATTTCATCCATTGGATGAAACAGGCTTCTTGTACGACAGACTTAATCTAGTTATCTGCTTCCAGAAGGCCCCACTTGCTACTCGGTATTGCTCATGAGGGTTCTTGCTGAGAAGACTTCAAAAATTTCAACTTCTAGGGAGTAAGTCCCTGACGTTTGATCTGAAAACAAATATAGAAGCATTCGAGATTTTCTTGAGTCTCTCGTCAATTGTGTCCCTTTCAATATGTTGTTCACCTCATTGATAGCTCTGGAACTTATTGCCCACTCGTACAAGCATCATATACTCTTAGATTCTCTTGCTCGCAACTTGTTGCGGAAACGCTTGGTTTGTGAGTGTGCTTCATAGTTTGTAGATGCGAGCATTCTAATACACGAAATCTAGCTTGGTGAGCCCAGGACTAAATCCATCCACTCACATGCACCAATTCTGTCACTCCCTCTCATTTCCTATTACCTTTCCCCAATTTAAGCGAACCCCAGATTGTCGGTGATGTCCTCTCCTCGCCACCCATCCATCTCTCTAATCCGCCTAGAACGCATTCAATACAACCATGAATCCCACCCATGACGTCGCCGGGCACGCATCCTGCACAACCTGCACCTTCACCGAAGTTTTCTCCAACTCCTAGACCGTAGTCTTCTCCCTCCGCGCTCGAAACGGGACAGATAAACGCGCTCCCCAGCTCGCAAATCAGAACCTAGGTTCTACCGTGGAGGGATGATAGTCTACTACATCTCCCCTGACAACAAAACCACGGATATCGCCGCTTTCGAGCCTGTGAGTTCCATTTATCAACTTTTGCAAAGAGAAGAGAGGGGAGATGACGGTGTTGATGTTGATGTAAAAAGGGGTTTCGCATTTTCGCCGGTTCGCCGGCACAGCAGAGCAACGCGTCAATACCTCGTCGAGTGTGCTGTGAATTTGTACAGATGTTTTACAGCTATGACGCCAGCATGAACTTCAACCAGAGTCTGATGGGTGTCGCTGCTACTGATAACCTAGAACTACCTAATCAGTTTTGTGCTGGAGGGATACAGGGAAATTCAATAAATCTCCCTGGCCCACTGACAGCAGTCAACCTTTTATGTCCAGCCAGGGAGATCCGTAAATCCCTCCTTTCCCTCTCCCCTGTCATGTCCTTGAATTATTTCTGATAAGAAGGGGAAAGAACTGGATACGGCCATCACGCAGACTACGTCTTCGGTTGGAAAGGGGATTCCCTGCAAAAGGCTATGGATGCAAGATGTGATGTGTACAATGCGAGTCCCGAGTCACTTGTGTTTCAGGCGAGTGGGTGTCCGCAGCTTAAGACGCAGGATTCGGCGACGGCCAATACATGTAAGCGGGGGCAGATTGCCAAAGAGAATTTGTATGTTTGTAAGTGGTACTTCTTGGAGAGAAGACGAATTAGTGCTAATGGAGTTGATCTTAGGGGTTTCAACGCTTCCTGGAAATATGCCAGTTATTTATGCTTAGGTCCGCTGGCCCAAGCATTTCCAGAGCAACAACTATTTAAAGGTGGTTTTGTCAATAAATCAGAATTTGTAGAGAATCCAGCTACTTGGGCGCGAAATCGCAAGAGCTCTGGTCATGAAATCCAAGGACAAGATCGAAATTGCTCCTCAGCTTCATTACTAGTATCAAAACTTTGCTAGACTTGCTTCGACATTCTGCGTCCACCACTCGGGGAAGTCCAGCACCTTCTTGCCAAGTCTCGCCTGCTCAGCAGCGAAGACCATGGCATGGCTTCTGATGACTTCTTCCAAGCTGCAACCAACATGCACTCGTTGGGCCTCCTCTACAGTGGACCCGTGGTTCTTGACAGCATCGACAGCAAGTATGAATTGCCTAGCCAGTCCATCGTCACCGCCACCATGACCGCCTTTTGCAATGAACGGCCTGTATATTTTCTTCGTCCCAGTATTGAAATCTTCCACAGTGATAGTTGTGCTATCCGCATAGATCTCTCCATCAGATCCGTAGATGTTGGTGTATCTGTCACAAATCTTCTTTGTGTGAGCGACCATGTGGAAGACGGCGGTTTTGGCACCTCGTCCAGCGAGAGCTTTCTCGTTGTCGTCATTGACCTTGGGAAGAGGGTCATTGTCCCAGCTCATAGTCACCACTTGCTCATCGCAAACATCATTATCTGCTTCGTAAACACAGCGGCCGAACCAGTTCTTGGCTGCGATTTCTGAATCGGGAGTATCCTGAGTATAGTTTTCCTCGAGCCTCTTCATGATGGCGGCTTCGCCTGCGGAAGGACCGCTCATGGATATGCATTCTTCAATCTCAGGAACCACAATGTGAACCGGCCAATGAGTGTTGCCGGATCCAAGGCCCTCGAGTTCAGATCCCAGGTAAATCTTCTTTGCAGAATATTTGCAATACGTTTCGATTGGGCAAGAAAGACAATTGGTTGCATTTCCAGCAGCCGTTGGCTTTCGAGTCTTGTTGAAATACTGAAGAGATCCAACAGAAGTTACGGTTGTGGGTATATGGGCTGGGCGGGGAGTATTCGGAGGTGGGGAGCAAAGTAACCAGAGGAGAACATCAATATCGTGACAGGACTTGGTTAGGAGAGATGGGGCTGTGGTGGATTCTCTTCGCCAATTGCCTCTGCAGCCTCTCAGTGATCAATTTCAACGGTTGAAGCAAGAGATACATACCTAACGTAGCTGTGTGTGAAGTGCCACCACCCAACAGGTTCCGTATGATTGATTGACAGAATCTCTCCAATGATTTTGTCTTCCAACAGCAGTTTCCGTAGCAGCATGTTATGTGGGCTGTATCTCAGGACGTGCCCTATTGAGAAGATTCGGGACGGGGTGGTATTTGGAAGGCTCGGGAGGAGAGCCTTGTATATCGAGACACAGTCGTCCAAGGTGGTGGCCAAAGGCTTCTCGCACATAATATGCAGGCCAAGGGGAGCCAATCCAACAATGACCTCCTTGTGCTGCTCATCCAGTACGCAGACGAATGCTCCATCCACCCCTGCCGGTACCTCTTCTCCTCTGCTGGCCTTCGCCCGCCTCTCCAGTTCCCATTCCAGGAATGCCCTCCAATCTTCGAACCCTTGTCCATCCGTTGGCCCTGCCTTGCCCCAGATGTATTTCTCCCCAAGTTGCTTTCGCTTGTATGCAATAGGTTCTGCCACAGCTACAATTATGCCGTTCGTTGATTCTGCGGTAGCTCTGGCATATGCATTGCCTCGTGAGCCTGCCCCGATGATGAGGAGTCGTGGGGGATTTGCTGACATGGCAGGACGAGGAGGAGCGGGAAGAGATTCGCCATCGTCGACTGGGGAGTCTGCATGAGGTGCCATGTTGATTCTGGATGTGGGGCAATGCTCTCGAGGGAATCGAGTGTCTTTTGAGCTCGAACACCAGGCTTCCACCTTGGATCTGGTCAGCCTTGTAGACCCCGCAGTCGCGGATTCACGGGCTTGAAAGTTATGCAACGTTACCGACCAGTTACATGGCTGGTATTTGAATGGCAGAGATCAGCTGAAGCTTGGCATCTCGAGCCAATTATGTGACTGGCAATTTGTGTTCATGGCGTGCCGCGTGTCAAAGGTGGGAGGAGGTTCAATTGAACTGCCCCCACCAATTTCGCCTATTTCCATAAAATTAGGCGAGGTATCTCCCTGCTTTCGCCCCATAACCACACTTCGTTGATGAAAGCGATGCTGTAGTCAACACCCTTTAAACTATTCCACGCTAGACTAACAGAGCAGGGAATGCGGCGGTTGAAGGGGAAGTGCTAAATGGGAGTGAGAGCGACAACCCACTATTTTCTGACTGCAGCCTGCTATAGGTTGCTCCTAAAAATATTGTTTAAAACTCACTTTACATATAACTAAGAACCTTAACTATTAAACACACTAAGGAAGTCCCATACAAAGACCACAATAAATAAAAATATATATGAAAAAAAGGGATATAAAAAACAATAGGTGAAAATTTTATACTCAAAAAAGTGTCCAAAAATGCCCAAAAAAAAAATTACTCCCCAGTGTTGCGCCGACCTAGACGAGACTCGAACTCGCAATCTTTGCCAATTTCCAAGGCGAACACAAGTGTTCACCAACCGGAAAGCAACGCTTTATGAGTGTTAGCCTGGGACGAAAAGCTAGGTTTTCAGAGCATATTAAACTTACCCTTACCATTAGGCCACCAGGCCAATTTTCACTGGTCTCTGAACCGGAAAATCGCTTATTTGGCTATATACTGCTCATCATTTTTCGGAAAGTTTCGGCCAATCACATGTTTCCATTTCTTATCGTCTAGTCAAGGCAAAAGTGAGCTCTAGCATGTAAAATTTGGACCCCTTGTCAATCATAGTCCTAAATTGTGATATCGAAATTTACTGTTACCTTTTCTAGCTTTTTAAAAACGTATTCATGAAATTGCTTGACTGTTATCCTAAAGCATCTGCGGAAAGACGTCTTGAAAGTGATCTATTATTCCCTAAATATTAGAAGGAATGCAAGTTATGTGTTCAAGGCTGCACTTCTATCAATAGATTTGGTTCTAAGAGTTCTGAAATTTGAAATCCTTTCTTTGTGTGGTTGAGTTTTGTTGGGATATAAGTGTCCACACGAATGTTGGCATGGAACTTGAGAGCAAGAACAGTCTCGAATCTGAATAGGTCTTGAGAGGTGCAGATTATTTCACGTGGAGCAATGAAGCCAATACCGTGATCAAGTTGTGGCATTTGGACAGATCACATCTATGAAGAAGTCTGTGAGGTAGTATTGCAAGATTTCGTTATGAGAGAAGCAATGAATTAAGATAGTAGAGACTAAGAACATAGAACATATAGCAGAGCTTTTTGTACACATATGTAAAAAGAGAAGAAACAAGCTGAGTGAGCCAATTGTGTTATGAAAACCTTCATCTACTGACGAACTTCACCACTCTCGATTTTGACTTGACCTTGGATACTTTAAGGACATATATACTTTGATAAAGAAAGTCATCAAGGGATCAAACGTTTCAAAAACCACTACCGTGCACGTGCCCAAGCTGCATTCGAGATAGGTAGTTTGCCTTGTATAGAGTCATGATCGGCAGCGCTCGATCAGGAGGGAGAGGAGGTGAAGCCATGTCACTGGGCACTTGGATCTACCAAAACTGGGGAAATGAACATCATTGGCCGGATGAAGGGTATCAAGAAGCACAAACCGGAAGGCCCTTTGCCCAAGCATCACTCGCCTCTCCTTTCCCAGTGATAAATACAGTCTCAACCTCCGGAAACTCAATTCCCATTTCTTTCTTGACCTTCTTCAGGCTACCGATTACCTCCCTAAAGTGTCTAATTTCCTTCCGTACCCCAACATTTAAAGTTTCCTCACTAGATTCGCAAACTCACCATCCTCGCTCAACCTCTTGTCACAATGCATACTAAACACGACAATCATCCTCCATATCTCCAAACGTCTCCAACTAATACAACATTCGGTCCATCGGTTTCGTATCGATCAGGCACGTATGCATATCAAACGCAATATTCCGACACCCTGTCAGCTGAACCATGAAATGCTGCCGCGCAATCTCGTCATCTTTATGATACGGGGTGAAATCGTTAGCAGTCGACTTAAGAAGCACTCAGTAATCAAGGGCCTGCCCAAGAAGAGTTCAGCAGGTCTTCTCCTTATCCACGTAGACATATCTTCCGCCCTTCTTCTCCCACACGGAATATTGCTTTCGATTAAATCACGTGATGCTCGACAGATGAAAACAGTGCGGGAGTGTGACTCCGGTGGGTAAGGCGGAGCTGAATTTCGGGATCGAACGGCTTCGGATGGTATCGTAGGTCCGAACCCAGGCTTGGAAGATGCCGGGTGTCGAGGTCTGAGGCGATGGGGTGGATGCGAGGTGGGTGTGAATCTGCTTGGGTGTAGGCTGCCATACTTCATATTTGGTCATGGATCTCGCGGGGAAGTTTAGGGAAGCGCGTGAAGTCATTGGTAGGAGAGCAGCAAGTATCTGCCATAATAGGAGTTCGAAGTAGGGTTTGACTTGTCAGGTTGAGGTTCTATGAGGTTCTGTGAAAGGACTGAGCTCGGTGTGGTAACCTTAGCGGCTGAGGTCGGGCCAGCTGAACACGTGAGGACTTCTTCTTGGATTGAAAATGAATGAGGTTTTGTTGCACGTCTAATCAGTCACAAGCCTGTTTTTGCAAATGAGGAGACGTCAATTACTGGGGTTCAAACCTGCTCTGCTGCTGGAGTTGCAGTGCAGCAGCTGAGGCCGATCAAAAATGCCTATCTTTGCGGGGTTGAGATCGTCCTTGATCGAGGTACTTTGAATGCACGTGAATCACCGAGGACATAGTGGCTTGGCACAACACATCCCATTGAAGGCATCCATTAAACCAAACTAAACTAAACTACAAATAAACACGATCCAATTTTCAACCAATTCCCAAGCTAAGGTTACAGTGATCAATTTCTTCATAAGTCATATAATCGTGACCTTTTTAGTTCTTCTTTCCAGTGAGTGATTCCGTGATCATTCCAAGACCAAGACCTTTAAGAATGCCTTTGAGACCAAGACCACCCAAGAGGTTGTCAAGGAGACCACCGAGACCGAGGCCAGCCAGAAGTCTGCCAACAAGACCCAACACACCGCTGAGGAGCAAACCAACAGCTGCGATAATCTGACCAAGTGGTTCTGACACTATTAGTACTGCCATATATATGGATTGAGAAGGCTTACCAGCCAACAAGTTCCACAGAGGATTCAACTCCTTCTTGGCATGGGGCATGCCCGCGATCTTCTTCTTAGCATTGTCAATGGTTTGAGTAACGTTTCCAGCCAGCTCCTTGAGGACTTCAGCGAGACGGTACTCTTCTGGGGTGGCTTCTCTGGCAGCTGTCTTGTGCTTGGCGTTGGCTTGGATGCGTCCATCGGGATCAAGACCACGGATGACACCGTTTGCTTCAGTTAAGATTAGACCGCCTTGCTCGATGAGTGGCTTGACGGTATCGACCAATTTCTGCTCGTCAAGCTCCTCTTTTGGTTGACGCTCGGCTGCGTCGATAGCCTATATTAATGTTAGGATAGGATTGGTGGTAATATTTGAGTGAGCTCGACATACCTCTGTGATCATCTTCAAGATGGGGTTGATCTTGTCAAGAGATTGTTGAATACACATAGCCAATTGGCCAGCGAGCTTCTTATCCTGTTCAAGTTGTTTGCGCTCTGCAATCTCCTCGGGAGACTCTGTTGGCTCTGGCTCTGGTTCTGGCTCTGGCTCTGCCTCAGGCTCAGGTGGGATGTCCTCGAGGAGAGTTACGTGGCCGATGACTTGGTTTTTTAGATTGTAGACGTCGCCATCTTCGTCAATCTCCTTGCCAGCACACTTTGTGATGTCGCCGTCTGTCAATTTTGCGATCACATCACCTGTTCCGAGAGTTAGCATTGTATAATTAGGAAGATTCTGAAGGAAGGGCTCTCCGATGCTTACCATCTTCGTCAACGACATTGCCCTCGCGGTTGACCTTTCGGCCAGCGACAGGGTTGTGTGCCTTCTGTTTCTCTTCTGGCTCCCATCTCTCAGCACGACCGATTGTGTTGCCATTTTTGTCCAATACATCTCCATCATCATCAACCTCCTTCCCATAGAGTTGTTTTCCATCGCCCTGGATGAGACGACCGATCGTAACGCCTTTTGAGTCAGCGACCAATCCGTCCTTGGTGACTTTCGGGGAGTCGAATCCAGCGAATGGACCTTCCTTCTGGCCCGCTCTCTCGCTCTCAGGAACAAGTTCAGCACGACCAACGATGTTTCCGCCTTCACTCCAGACGTTACCATCCTTGTCGCACATCTTACCCGCAAGTTTCTTGGGATCTCCCTCGACCAGGCGACCATAGATCTCGCCGTGGGAATCCACGACGTTGCCAACCTTGTTGACGCGCTTACCGGCCAGAGCCGACATGTCAATTTTCTCTGGCTCAGGGACGGCCTCCTCTTCAGGTCCATCCCATCTTTCGGCCTTGCCAAGTACGTTGCCAACCCTATCGACAACCTCTCCGTCTGGGTCGATCTTCTTCCCGATGAGCTTTTTCGCGTCTCCCTCGACCAATTTGCCAACAATCTGGCCTTCGTAGATGACGTGACCCTCCTTGTTGATAACTGCGTCTGGGAAATCTTCGAAGGGCTTTCCTGTGATCTCGTCTCTTTCGTCGACAGGAATGAGTTCTGCGGTGCCGATGACTTTGCCCGATTCGGACCAGATCTTGCCCTCCTTGTCGACCTTCTTGCCGATGAGCTTGGCTAGGGCGCCGGACACAACGCGACCAAAAAGTTTGCCGTTATCATCGACGACATTTCCGGCCTTGTTGACCTTCATTCCTTCCCTACAGACGTGATTAGTTTCTCCTTGCTAGTGTGAGGTCGGCTGCTTACATGGCGGAGAGATCCTCCGCTTCCTCTGGGACCTCCTCTGGAGCATCCTCTTCTTGGTAACGCTCAGCCTTCCCCAGGACGTTGCCGTTCTTATCCAAGACATCTCCATCGGCGTCAACTTTCTTGCCCTCCAACTTCTTGGCCTCGCCCTCGATGAGCTTGCCCACAATTCGACCTTCGAACATGACATTACCCGATTTGTCGAGGACAGCATCTGGGAAATCTTCAAAAGGTGCAGACGGCTCGGCTTCGCGGTCCGTCTCTGGCAACAGTTCTGCCTTCCCAATGACCTTGCCTGAAAAACTAATCAGTAATTAAGACAAGATTGGGGAAATGAGGTCCACGCACCGGAATCGTCCCAGATACAACCTTGATCGTCAACCTTCTTGCCAAGTAGCTTCTTGGGATCGCCCTCTACGAGAACACCGAACGGAGTTCCGTCTTCAGACACGATCTTGCCGAGCTTGTTTACGGTCTTTCCTTTCAGGATTGACAGGTCTGGAACTTCACCCTCGGGAAGCTCGCCCTCGACACCCTCGACTTTTGACATGGCATCCTCGGGAATTTCACCATCGAGACCCTCCACTTTGTCCTTGGCCTCTTCATCCTCAGGTAGTTCGCCCTCGACACCCTCGACTTTTGACATGGCATCCTCGGGAATTTCACCATCGAGACCCTCCACTTTGTCCTTGGCCTCTTCATCCTCAGGTAGTTCGCCCTCGACACCTTCGACTTTTGACTTGGCATCCTCGGGAACTTCACCTTCG